ACCCTGACAGTCGCCTCTTCATAACATCTTTTTGGCTTTCGCCATAGAAATAACATGAGGCAAGAAACGAGTCTTGGTGCTAAAGAAAGTAATATGATCGTCTCCCGAAAGATAAAGAGTAATCTCTCAGTCATGGCATCGGATATCTGCATGAAAATATGTTAGCCAATCCATGCCAAGTATGAGGTCAAAATCCCTCATCTCGAGAACATAAGCGTCGGCAGACAATATACGACCACCGATAGAAAGGCTGAGATCTGTAGCTTTAGCAGTAGTCACTATCTTTCGTCCCGAGGCTAAACTCACCTCGAGAGGATCGACAGCGGTAATGGCATGTACTCCGATGGCATCAAGACGTCGTCGTGATATAAAAGAGTGTGTTGCTTTAGTATCAAATAAGGCGAAAACAGGAATATCGTTAAGCATAAGCATCCCAGACATGGTACCTGGGTGTTGTTCCGCCTCGGCCTGATCGACCGCATAAACTCGAGCCTGCTATTTGCCCCTTTGTTGCTGTTGGGGTGGTCTCTGAGCCTGTTGTCTGGGCTGCTGCTACTGCTGCTGTGGCTGCTGGGGCTGCTGTGGTGGCTGCTGGAGCTTCTTCGGACAGCGGTTAGAAAAATGTCCGGGCTCGTGACAATAATAGCAAATATCCTGGCCAACACGACACTCTCCGCGATGGAGTCGTCCACAAGTGGGGCACGGTGGAACCTGCTGTGGCCTCGGACGGGTCCTCCTGTCAGTCTGGACGCCTTTCCCCTTCCTCTTCTTGTCTTTCGGTGGTTGGGCAATAACTGGTGGAACTGGTGGAGCTTTGGATGATTGGGCAGGTGCAAATGACTGAAGACGATCGTGGTTAGCCTCCCTCCAAATGCTGACATCCACCTCCTGGGCAATAGAAATGGTACGAGCATAGGTCTGCACTCCGTGACCTACAATGTTGTGACGGATTGCTCGGTAAATCCCATCATTGAAGCGTTGTGCCATCTTTGCTTCTGTATTCACTAGGTCGGGAACAAAGGCTCTGAGTTTAGTGAATTCTCTCTCGTACTCATGAGCTGAACGAGTACCCTGTTTGAGCGCCCGAAACTGACGCTCCATCTCTGCTCGGTAGTACGTGGGATAGTACTTCTTACGAATCAGCTCCTTAAACCTGTCCCAGGTAAAACCTTCCTTTCGCCGGGACGCATACTCCAGTAAGCGTTCCACCACAGTCGGGCATCACCGGTCAACTGAAGCTGTGCGCATAAAACACGATAGCGATCTGGACAGTCCATGACCTCAAAAATTAATTCAAGGCCCTGAACCCATTCGTCCACGATTCGAGGATCTCCCTGGCCGGAGAATTTCTCTGGGTGATAGTGTTGGTGTTATATACTTAAGCTTTGCTTTAGTGGATATTTCACTTGTTATT